TTGTAGATTACCTGTGTTGATGAACACATTTTTGAAGATGTCCTGCATCCTGTGTACAGTACAGTTCTGTCAAAACATATAAATAAAGCATGAGATTTGGATATTCAGTTTGGGTTTTCTGCTACCAATGGAAATGAGAGTAGAAAAGGGATGTTCTTCCTTCTGAGGTGATGTGTCATGTGTTTTACTGATCAATAAAGGCCACTGAATTAGTTGTCAGAATTGACTTAGAAATTTCAGGAAAAAGCAGTAAGGAAACAAGAATTCAATAGTAGGCAACAATGGCTAATAATGTTTTTTGTTTTCTGTATTTTTATTCTCCTCAGTTTTTATTGATTATTATTGGAGTTCTTTCATTTAAAATAGTATTAAAAATGTATTTTGATTACCAAAGGTAAATAAGTTTTTTGTTTCCTTAGTTGCCTAATGAAAATTAAAGCCCACATATATAGAATATAAATTAATACAATACCAGATTATTCTGTTTTCTCAATGATTCAGTTAATAACTGTTTTATGCTTATATTGTCCATCATGTTAATATGTATGCAGACATGCCTAGTAGATTTTAGAGCACATTAAACTGCAGTGTCCAGTAAAGGACTGAAAAAAGGTTTTTATTTTGTCCACAAAGCTTTAATATTTTTAGAATTACAGTTATTGTTGCAGGGAATGATTCTTGAATCAACAAGTGATACAATCATTTAATCCTTACAACATAAAACTTCCTTTTCTTACATGCATAGTAAGTTATCCTGAGCAATAAAAGGATCATTTTACATTAGAAAACGCAAATAACATATTGCCTATTCTGTGAAGGACCGTGATTTTCTTCAGTGTTCTGTAGATTTTATTCATCTATCTATCCAGTTGCAATTATTGCATGCTGACATACTGTTGCAGCTGGATTGGTGGTGGTCACATGCAAATTCTCTTCAAAGCTTCAAAGCAAGAAAGGGACTTGTGTTTACTGGGTTCTAGTGGGTCTGAGACATTCATCAAGGCAATCATCTGGTTAATTAACCATTGGGTAAATGGTTAAGGGTCATTAACAGTCAAGAAGCTAAAGAAGATACAGTGTCCTTTTGTCCACTCCTGCCAGTGCCATTGCCATCATTTTGTTGTGGTCAATCACTTTGTTCACTTCCCGAAGCTAGACTGTGAAGTCCAGTTGTCCCCACACTGCTTTGGCATAAGTCCCAAGTGCTTGGATCCAGCCACTCTGACTGATTTGTAATGTTGTGGGGTGCACTTTTCTCCCTTGTGTTTGCATTAATTCTCTTAGTTGGCATTGTCAATGCGAATTGTTGTTTAATGGTACTGATTGATCATCTTCACACTGTGTTGCATCATTTCTTTCTTTCTTGTTTTTTATCCACATGAGTTTGTCCAGTGGTATGTTGAGCATTACACTGATACACTGATGTTATCCATGTTTTGGCCCCATCAGTCCAAGTCTGAATTCAATCAAGCATTTATGAGATATTCTGGAACAACACCTGAGACGGAGCTTACCAACTCCATCAATCTGGTGTGAGTGGAGTGACTTGGTTGTGGAAGAAAGGTGCTGCATATCCCTCCTACAGAATTCCAGACACTGGTGGACTCAGTGCCCTATTAAGTGACTTTGAGTTTTTTCAATCTTCTCCACTACTTGTACATATTGGTAGTGAACTCAACAGTGTTTCGAAGGAACAGTCTAAGACTTTTTGCCTCTTGTTTTTATTTAGCTGTGGTGTCTTAATTATTTAAAGAAATTACTGCTTGGTACGCGTGTATCTAATATTTTCCATGAGTCAGGAGAAATTAAATTGCACAAGTATTACACCTTTAAAATGAAGTTGCAATAGCACACTCCTATTGTGCTGTACATTTTCAAATATGTTCAGGTTTCGTGTTTTTATATTTAAGTGGTCTGTGTCTGATAAGACATGTTTTTTGTGCAAAACAAACTGTAGACCTGGTGAGATTCATTGACAGTGTGCTGTTCATTTCCATGCACTTTTGTTTATTAGAGTAGTGATTTCAATACATGACATAGTCTAAAACCAATGTAATATAACGAATGTGACATAACAGTTGCATATGATACATTATAATGCATAACAAATAATTAAACCTCAAATATGCATTAATAAGGCATTGTTATATAACAAAAGTCTGACTGTTGACAGTCTGACCTAGCGTTTTGTTTTTTACTGCTGCATATTAAGGAATGTACAGTATGCATTTAATATCAGTACTACTATGTTTTTTTACTACATTTGGGTTAGTTGTATGTTGTGCAAAGTAAAAAGCATTTAAGTACTACTACAAGCTCAGTATAATACCATTCTGTTTATAATGTTACACTGGTGTGCTGAATGTGACATAAAAGTTGATTATCTGCCTTTTTGCACATCTGCCTGAACTCTCGTCCCTCTGGGGTGAAGCATGTGTCGGAAGACGGTATTTTCTTCTGCTGATTTTATGTTTTCAACCATTTTAACGGTATCCAGTTCACTCTTTGTTGAGTTGTGTAAAGTAGGAGTTGATATTGACCTAAAGTTTGCAATTGATTTTCAACCATAGTTTTGATGCATATGGATTGCAATCTCTGATTGCCTGATGTAGGAGTTTGCAGTCCAGGAATAGATTATTGACTTGGTACATTCTTGTAATCGTCTGTTGAAACATACTGTAGTTTCACAGGTATAGACATCTTATATGGCTTCCCCATTGTTAATGGTGCTCAGTATTATGTGCTCAATTAGAATGTTAGAATAAGAAGCCATTTGTTCAGTTGTAGATTATTGTATTAAGACAATTTTAAAACAATTTTTAAAAATAAACACCTAAAACATGTTTTACATATTTAGACTGCACAATATTATGTTTCTCCTGCTGCTAGTGTCACATAATGAATGTTTAATTTGTGCCTGTGTCAAGGGCCTGGTAAGGGTATAATCCTTCATTTGTAGAAGCATCTCTCTTGGGTGGGAAGTGATTGGACTGTCATTGAGACATTGAATCATTTCTGGTAAAGTGTGGTAAAAGGAGTACATACTGAACAGACAGAAACCCCCTGTACCCCTATGCTTGAAGATAGCAGGTAAGGTATTTGTTTTTAAAATCACTCCAGGAATAGAGCCCAGTATTTTTTTTCAACTATCTGAACCCATTTGCTCAAGTTAATGTGTATTGCAGGCTGTAGCACAAAATACATTTCCTAGGAATGGAATGCAAGAACAGCATTTCCTTACAAAATGTGGCATGTACAGTATCTAGAGTATAAACCACATTTTTTGCTCTGATGCTTCTGGAACTAATATGATAGTTATTTAAGTTATCATTAATTTTAAGCATGTCTATTGAAGATATTCATTTCCAGAAAGGCATTCTTATGTTTGGCTAGGTGCTTTAGACTTTACACAAAATCAGGAAGTTTATCTACTCTGAGCTCATTTCCACCCAGTATTTGCTGTCATAGTTTTGGAATGTTTGAAGAATTCCAGGTTAGAAAGGCTAGAAAGGAATACTCACCTTTTTAACTTCCTATAACATTCCCAGCATCATTACTTGCTGTTAAAAACTAGATGTGGAGTAATCCCCTCTCCTGCGGTTTAGAATTATCTCCTGCAAAATCTAAAATCTCATGAATTAAACTGGATATTCAAGCTATGGATATGTTGACCCAACTTTACAATCAGTATACAGTTTATATATCACTTACTCTTATCTATATTAATTCATGGATAATATTCTTCCCATGCCATGCCAATAGCAGTTGAACTGAGAAGACTAGCTTGATCTCTTTCCAGAGGCAGACGAGTTGCTAACCAGGGATTTCCTCTGTGGTCAAAAAATATATTAAAGAAGGATATTAAAATAGCTTTCAATAACAATTGTCATTACAAAATGTTTTGTACACTGAAATTTATAACAAAAATATTTTTTTGTTTTTGTAGTAATAAAAGATAAATTGTGTCCTGATTTTGTCATAATTTACAGTACATGAGTAGATGAATGCCATTTTTATCTCATGGGTTTCTGTGGTCCTTCAGAGGAAGTTTTGCTATTTAGGTCATCTACATGGGCAGATTTTGTTGGTCAGTAAAAAACTCCTGTAACTGAAATGGGTTATTGTTTATGCTGATAGCATTCTAATACAGCACTTTGGAGGCTTGTATTGTATCTGTTTGATGGACAGAATGACCTTCAATACCAGGTTTCTGATATAGAACATTTACACTTAGTTTTCCAAATGGTGATACATTTTTGTTTGTAACCTGAAACAACAGGGCTAATTCTTCATCCCTCTGACTTTTTTAATTAAATGAGCTGTTATTTCATTTTTAAAACTAGGTTTTAGCTGTGTGACCGTTTAATTTAAGGTTATTTAAAAACTAACTTAAGGTTTTTTCAGTCTAGAAAGAACTTGATGTATGTATTTATTGTATTCTTGAATGATTGTGAATTAATGACTCCTAATGACCATATTAGTCACTGTGTTAAACTTAAAAAGCTGGCCTACATGTTGGTAGTTAAAAACAGTTTGTCTGTACAGTTATAGCTTCTTGCCTTTGGACATCCCTCCTCTTTGAGAAAGGAAGTTATTTACATTTCTGTTTTAAAACAAAAATGTTTTTATTTTAACCATATCAAGAACTCATTGAGAAACTACATTTTTATAAAGGAATCTCAAGAATTTGAAAGTGAAGAAAGTTATTTACAAAGGATTTTAAGAGTTCTAACCAATTACTTTGCCAATTTGTTTTGTTATGTTGAGAAACATTTCTGTTTTGGGCCTTTGTTCACATGGGCCATTGGCAAGGACAGTGCATTCATAACTTATTTTTGTGAGGGGAGATAGAGCAGCATATTCAGTTTAGGAGTTGTTCTGGTCTTGAAATTCAAACTGATTATTCAGCCCCTTCCACTAAAACTAAACATCACTTTCAGCACACCGTTGGTGCACCCTTGTCCTAATAATCTTCCTTTTGCATTTCCTCTGCTGCTCAGGTGGAAAGAATAGTAGATAAAAGAAAGAACAAAAAGGGAAAATGGGAATATTTGATCCGATGGAAGGGATATGGCAGCAATGAGGACACTTGGGAACCGGAACATCACCTGCTACATTGCGAGGAGTTTATCGACGAGTTTAACGGACTCCACATTCACAAGGATAAGCGCTCCAAGGCAGGCAAACAGACCGCCACCCCACGGTTTTTGAGTCGAGGAGCCTCCGGTGAAGCCGTGAGAGCAAGAGGGGAGTCCCGCAAAAAGAAAAGGACTAACGCCACAGGCTCCCAGAAGGCAAAACGAGGGTATGGGGGCAAACAAGCGGGTGACAGGGCCACCAAAACTGTGACGTACAGGACGACCCCAAGTGGACTACAGATCATGCCCATGAGAAAACCACACAATGGGCTGCAAAATGGGGACTCAGAAGCTTTGCTCTACAGAAATGCAGCCCAACAACATAAAATTGGAAATGACAGAGAAGATGAAATTTTAGACGAGCTGGAAGTTACTGAGACGCCTCTCATGAGTGATATAGGTAAGAAGTTTATATAATTTTATTGGGGGATTAGTGGCTGTGCACAGGGGTGCATCTCATGTGCTGTGCTGCCTGTGTGGTACCCAAGTGAGCGCACAGGCTCCTGGCCAGAACTGGGATGAGTCAGCCCGTGGTCTGTATTGCAAAACCATCTACCAGAGATAAGAGGTAGGATGACAATTATTCAAGATGAATATACTGTAAGTATTTAGCATATAAACAGAAGATAATGATATCTATGGTGGTCTTTGGTAGAATTGCCACATGCAAAGCCAAAGAAGCAAAGGGAAATGTAGGAACAGGCTGAACGGAGGCCAAAAGACTGCTGTAGAGAAGAGGGGTTTAAGTTTGGGAGGCACTGGGTGGTATTTGTGGAACCAATGGGATGAGTAGCAATTGAACAAGAACAACATAAATGCATTGGGGAAACAAGTTTTGATGTTTGAGGTTGAGGATTGTTTAAATTATAGTCTTGTTACACGTAGTACAATTTTTTACTAACAAGAAGCAAGGATATCTCAAAACAATAAAGCAAAATAAAGCAAAAAATCATTCAATTGTTTATTTAGACTTGCTGAAATATTTCCCTAACATCCCCCATAAAAGATAATGTCTTTATTTTTTTTAATTTAATAATACTAATCTTTATTTCCAAACAGAGTAGAAAATATTTTGAACTGTTTTTTTTCCTTTACTAAAGCCTTCAGCAGAGGAGGCTCAGATTTGACATATTTGTAAATCCCATTTGTTTAGTTTTTTTCTGTTTCACAATTAGTGTGTGACAAATCAAACACAACCATTTTTTAGACCTGGCATCCTTTTTTTAATGGCTAATGGTTACCTGAAATTGCGTTCTGCATGCAAACAAATTCCACATGGGACTTGAATTAGTGCTGTGACTGAACTTGAAATTCCAAGCTAATTTAAAATTGACTGGAAGAGGGCAAATTACAAAGTAATCCATTTTAATTTGAGCTCTCCAGAGCTACATCCGCAAGACAGAAGTGTAAATTATGTCCGAGTTAGTACACATCACTTTCTTGTCATCACTTTCTTGGATGGGGCGCACTGTCGAAACTTCTGAATATATGCAGAGACAGGAATTCTAGTTTTTTTAGAGTTAAATAATAGTATACAAGCTTCTACTCTGCCAGTAAACTAAAGAAATTAACCAAGATGTTGTTTTTCTTGAAATAACATCAGCTTCAGCATCATGAATACCAAGCCATTCAATAGACTCACATCTATAACCCAAACCCACTCTACACTGGATAGACGAAAAGTGTCAGAATGGTAATGTGATGGGAGATAGTGGCGAGAGTTCTGAAACAGATTTGCTTTAATAGGTGTGAAATAGTAAAAAGACACATTTGATTGTTCCAGTCTTGTATTTTTCTTTGGAATTCAAAAAGATGAAGCATTTAAAAACAAACATTGGTTTCTTGGTTTTTACTTTAGTCTTTGATTTAGATTTGCTAAGGGCAGAGAGGGTGGGTCGGGCTTTTCTGCTTCCCTACTGAAAGCTAAGTGCTGAGAGCTTGCAGGTTATTCTCTCTTGTGTATTTTCAATTTCTGCAGTGAAGCCTTGCAGCATTTTGCTTTCCAAAGTATGGTACAAACAGCTGTTTTTTTTAAAAAATTGGGAGGCCTGGGAAGGACCTTAAATACGGTCCCATGAAAAATAGGAAATATAGTCTTCTTAGTCTTATACAAACAATTAAGTCTCTGTGCCAGTATATTACACTATATCACACATTTTTTAAGTGAGATTTTTTATTCTGAGAACACTTAAATCTAAATTAGATTGTATGGTGTTCACGCTGGCAAATGTCACACATCGAGAAATAGAAATGTCTGCATTCAATGATGGTGCTTTCCCTAAGTTCAGAGACTTCTGATTGGTTAGGTCACAGACACAGCTGGTTAGGCTAGACAGAGCTGGTTAGGAGAAGCACAGTTGGCTATATCTAGTCACCAACCAAAGAACATTCTTCAAGCAGCAGCTTGGCTCCTGTTAGGAGTTCCGTTCTTTCCCTGTGGTTATTACAGAGGTTTAGATCTTTCCCATCATTAGCAACCAAGTAAACTAAGAACGTAGAAGCAGACCCATTTGGGCACAGTTTTGTGTTATGGTTGGTGTCCCTGGCCAGACAGGATAGGCCATGAAAAATTACTCTGCTACCACAAGTTGTTCTTGTGGGTTAAATGTTAAGGTTATTTAAGTGATAAAGGTCTGGTTCAGAACGAGGGGAGAATTGGGATTTAGTTTTCTCCCCCCTGAAATATGGTATGGTTATACAGTGTTTGGGTTACTCCCCTGAGGAAGTTTGGGTTGTCAAGCCTTCCAGACCCCATGGCTGATTGTGGAAGGAAGACTGCTCCCTTAAAGCATAATTCAACTACACGCACAGAGCCAGCATCAAAGAACTCTCGAGCTTAATGTCTGTTGGTCAGATGTTTTGGAAACCTGCAGGTTATAAGCATCGGCAGTATTGAGACTGTAGCTTAGAGCACTCCTAGTAATGGTGCTTAGAGTTTCCCCAAGAGGGCAGACAAGGTTAGCACTAATCCCTGAATGAGCTGTGTATCGAAATAAAAACACCTTGTTACAGAGAGAATGGAATGATGGTTACAATTATATAGTTAACAGTTCATGGATCCAGTCATATGGTTATGGTTTACGATTTATGGTGAATATGTTCTCTGGTTGATTGTAAGTTTCTGGTGTATGATAGTATGGTATGTAGGTTATGGTTGAAGAATTCAGATCTGGTTATTGTGGTTAACACAGCTTTCCCCAGGACCCAGTGAAGCTCGAGGTGTCACTGAAGGCTTGTGGTCCTGGAATTTGTGTGGTTATGCTTTTACTCAGAATTAGGACAGAAGAAGTACCAGCACACAAGTGTTTGATAATAATGTGCCGGCCCATTTCAGACCTGGTTAACTCTAATCTCTCTGTTTTTAAAGCCAAGTAATTTGGAGCTACAGTATAAACCTTGAAACTATTTAGAGTCAGATATTCTAACATAAAAGCTCTATATGCCTAGGCCTACATGGGACCTAGTAACAGAACTTTCACATGATAACCGAAATACAATTCATCAATAAGTTAAGTGAACATTTATATTAATGTCATGAGAGTCATGTAGTCATGAGAAAATTTATAAAACAGCTCAGATTACTGTTTTGGGGCAAAACATTTTTTTATTAATTTGGGCAAATTTAAGGCTGCATGGGACCGCTGTCAAGACTAGGAAAATAATGGATTTCATCAGTAAAGTTGTCTGGTTAAATGATTTTGAATAAATGATTCAATACTCCAGGTAAATTAGGTAGATTATGTTCAGGGCTGTGGTTCATAGTTTCAATATGACAAAACTGCAATTGTATAGTGGAAATAGTATATATTTACACACCAAAATTAAGGAATTTCCTCTTGGATTTGAAAGACAGAATCATCCTTCCAGCCTAATGCTTTCGTGACACTGCATGGTGTCTGAAGAATGCTCTTGCTTCTTTGTTACAGAAATAGCTGGGCAGACCTCTGGCTCGAAGTAGCCCTCATTTGGTTCTTGTGACATTGAAAATATCTGTGACTTACATGATGACAAAAACTGTCAAATAAAAACCAGTAAGAATAGTAGTTAAAAACAGCAGAAACAATCAAAGCAGTCAAGGCAACAAGCCAGTAAAATGAGATGCACTGGTGTTCATTTTCAGGCTTTCCCAATGAACAAAGACATTCCCGTGAGCATTATTTTCTCTGTACTCTTAGTTCAATTTAGATTCTCTAATAAAATGGTGGTATAGAGCTTCAGGAAGGAAGTATATG